TTTTTATTTCCTGTGATCTTAAGGGCGGGGCTTTTCGGAAACTTGTACAGTCGTTGTCTTGAATATAGCAAGCTCCTCGAAATCTCTGATTGACATTGTCGTTCTTAATGAGAACAATAGCACTTATTGTCTCTTATTTTCTCATTTTGTTTTGAACAAGTCTATTGGATTACACCTTCCGAGAGTTTAAAGCCCACCAAGCTCCTCCCATAAGGGACTGTGCAATAATTACATATATTTTGGATCTGGGGGTCTAGCGAACGCCAAAGGCGGGAGTATTAAGGGTGTCTGGTCCTCCCCCAAAAAAGAAAGAAATAACTCTTGGAAATGCGAYATCCAGGTTTTACGGCCCCCCTCCTCGTAATTATTGCACAGTCCCTAAGTCGAACACAAACGCAAATCCGAACGTTTTCTTTAGAACTTCGAAGGAGCAATACTACGATTTCTGCCGCAAGTTATCTATGAAGCAACCGACGATTTTCCATGATTTTCCGGCGCTTACGCATACTCATCTGTTTTAGGTACTTTCTTATTCCTTGGGTTTTGCTTCAACCGACGAAYATTGAGCCTTTACAAGAACAAATTTAAGAGCACCGAGATGGATAATACATCAACAACGTTGAGTAGGTTTAGCCAAACGGGTAGGAAGCCACACGAGTCAAACGAGCAAACCTGCTCTAATCCTGGAGAAGAATACCACAGGGTTACCAACGATAATAACGGTTACCAAGGCGACTAAAGACAARGGATTGTTAATTACTATTTGCTCGTGTTAGAGTGAACGCCACATAAGCATGAAACAATTCTTAAGTAATTAGCGCCCAATAAGAATTAGTTATCAACTAACTAAGAATTTAGTGAGGTATAAACAAAGACAAGTTTCCTTTCTGTCATTGTGTTCATGCCCCAGTGAATTCTTAGTTAGTTGATAACTAAATCTTATTAGATGTTGATAGTTAAGAATTGTTTCATGCTTTTTTGGCGTGCACTCTATTTGTGAGCATGAATCAAACTCAATTCGACCTGATCAATTCACTACTAGTACAGTCGAACTTCTATTAAACGGCCCTCTATATATCGGCCACCCTCCGTAAAGCGATGTCGATTTTCACATATATATTTACTATTAAACATAACCTCTATCAAACTGAATCAACCTCTGTAAGCGGTCACCTGGTCTCTCCCCTGTGACCRCTTAACAGAGGTTCGACTGTATATACAGTTGAACTGCATCTTAATATTATATACAAATATCATATATAGTTAATATTTAGAGGTTAAATTAAATCCCATCCGAATATCCAACGGTCTTAGTTATACTTTCTTGCGTGGTGTATAGTCTTCATTGATCTAACATGTWAATTTTAGACAGCTTTTGTTATGATGACCGTGTCCTCATCGYAACTTCTTTTCATCCCTCGATAGGAACTCTGGGAGTGTAAGACTTCTGTATCGAACAGGGCCGCATGCATTGCCGGATTTCAAACTGTTGGGGACTGGGCAAAATCCCCTAATCACCTAAGACGTTTATACTGATATATAAAAACATTACGTCGTTCAAAAGAAGGGGGGTGCGTCTGCAACCAAAGCACCTCTCCTGCATAATTTTTTTTGAACAAATTAATGCCCAGAGCGTGAAGACATTTTGGCTCTTAATTGATAATAGTCCAGACACTTTTACTTGGGTTAAGATCATAAATCAATTATGTCTATAAGTCATTTTCATGTTTTTAATTTCATATCGCCATGAGTCCGTTTCATATTCCATATGTTGGCAATCAGCTGCCGGAACTTATACTGGCATATATAAAAGACCTGCTAATCTACCTTTATTTCAGTTGCCAATATGAAGTGGCTTGAAGTCATTCTACTTCTAGCGATCTTGTCATATATGATAGCTGTATTTTGTTGTTCTRAAGGCACTTCAAGTAAAGGTAGGAGATTATTTGTCTGAAAAATATAAGGGGTCAATACCAAAGGTTTCTTTGGAGAAATATATCTCTTCTTTATGTCCCACCAAGATGTAAGTAACCAGAGCTTCCCTCAAGATTATCATACTCTCAGACTGAAAAACATAAAAATTAATTTTCTGAAATAAAAATACATTGCCGAGATTCTAAAGGATCTAAGCTTCTCAAATTTGTGGCGCAAAAACAAACGCAGACGAAAAAAACCTGTACAACAATTGCTTTTTAGAATCTCACTACAGAATCTCATTCTCAGGATATAAGAACAATTATTCAGAAGTTAAAAGCTGTAAATCCTCCTGAAGTTAGTTGAACTAGTAATATTATWGTTAATTGACAATTCTTGTTCCTCTAGTTGATGATATCAGAACTCGTTTTTTCCTTGCCTATAGTTATTTTTTCCTTTACATTCTAATTTTACTATTTGACAGCGCTATAACTGAATGAAATTTTAACTGCTTTTTCTTCATTTATACAGACTTTTGCGGTGGCAATCGAACTACCACTACATGCAGTCACTACAAAGAAGTAAAGAAATTCCTGAAACTTCCTCCTCATTTTGCTAGAGTAGAAAGCCGGAGATCTTGCAAAATGAAATGCGGGTTAAGCTCCTTAAGAAAGAAGAAAACTATAGAGTGCTTTTGCGATAATTTGTGTGAGAATTTTAATGATTGCTGCGTCGACTACAGGCTTTGGTAWGTACTAATTCCGTGGCAATGAAAGGATGTCAAATTTCGCGTTCTGAATTCAAAGCTTAAGAGATACACAGKCAAAATTAGCAATGCTCAGTTCGTCCTCTACATTAAGATATGAATATGAGAACCGCAGGGCACTATGATAAACATGATAGGAATAGTGCTTAATTAGAAGGAGGTTATTCCGAGATAAAGACTCTTGAAAATAAATTCTGAAAAATTAATTTCCGATTTCGTTGGAAATCGAAATTAATTCAGTTTCCGAATTTATTTCCAAGGGTCTTTCTCCCGGAAACCTATTATATGATAAACAGAATATTACATGGTATTAAGGCCTTTGTCCATTAAAATATAATAGGTTTTGTTTTGATGGAGGAGTTAGACGTCGTTTGTTTATAAAAAAAGATAATTTATCTTAATCAAGATTTTTGAGGTTTAAATAYATCGGTTTTTGATGTCTATAATGAGTTTTACTGTCAATACTTTTGGTAAGCGTTCCCAGCATCTAGYTGACAGGAACTTCCTCTTATCGTTCCGCCCAACTTCTTGTTTTGACTCGTGTCGTGCGATCTTGAAGAGCTAGCGCTGCTATGTCCTGTTTTGTGCAGATCAAAAGTAAGACTGGTAAGATTTTTTGTACCTAACAACTGCCGATTGTGGCATGTCTCCTTCCCCCGGAAAATGTTGAGACTGACATCGCCAGAAATGCGATTAACAGCAATTTAAAGGATCTATACAACAATTAAAGATATACGGGAAATTTTCGCGGGAATTTACCTTGCTTCATCAAGTTACCAATCTTTACATTGAAATTGATCCATAAATAAACAATAAAAAAAAAGATACAAAAAAATTAAGCACAGKCAAATGTSCAGGCAAATGCTGATATTTTTGAGGATTATTTTACCTTCATTTTGCTAATCAGAAGTGGGGGGATCAGGGGGGGGAGTCAGGGAAGGAGTGAGAGCTTCCCCCTGGCACTTTTTATAGGTCAYACATATTCTGGATGAAAAACATTGATGTAGCGCGGACACGAAAACTGAGTACGAGAACTACAACTCCCATCATGCTTTGCTGCACAAGATGGCGTCYCTTCACATTACCTATCAAWRAAARTTTGWTTTTTTCACGCCTCACGGCTAATTTTTTCTCATTTGTACTATTCACGGCTAATTTTTCAGCCGTTTCACGGCTCACGGTTAACCCCATGGAGACCCTCATCAAACTGTACCGTAGTTAATGTAYAGTACTGATGCATTAAACATCCACTTACAGKTGTCGACAAAAGACAATACAAACCAATGCTGACTGTCGTTCTGTTCATGGTTCACTGAACGGACGTGGATACATTATGGTCAGCGGTTGCCCRGTCACGTGGTCAGACAGATACACCAAGCAAATGTGCGAGGACRAGGCTAGCCTCGAMACCATGCTGACAATGCTTCCWGTGACTGATGGGATTSATYTTCGAATATACAAAAACATTTTCTGTGCATTATGCAACAATGGTAAACAACTTGAATATTGGAAGATTGTAATTCAGAATCCGTTGTTTTACAACAAATCAGACCCATTTCACAAGAATCTGGTGAATGTTTTCGATTGGGCAGCGAGAGAGTCCGATAACCTCAAACATGAACGTCGATTCTGCATTCCCAAGTTCCACGGATGCAGGAAAAACAACTCAACGGCTGGTTTACTGCGCATGAGCGAGGCGGACCTGCAGYGGGTATGCAACTCGTACGCGTTTTCAGTGTGCCCCAAACCGTTCTCAAAAATTCGAAATCTTCACTGCATGCTATGCACAGGGGAATACTACAACATAACATGGTTGATCAAAGACAATTGTAAAGCTCCATGCCGTACTTGCACGCTCCCGCGTCCGAAACCTTTAGTTCTTGTTTTCAAACCAAATGATTTTCGTTGTAAAGAAGACGAAATTTTSGATCCTTTTACGGGAAAGTGCTTGGATTTGAAGTCCATTATAAGACAATGCACTCCAACTAAATTCTCAAAAGCTCTCGGAAAACATATGACAATCAAAAATGGTTCGGCTCGACCAAACATGTATCTTGCAATAGTCGATAACACTTCGCATGTCTGCTGGAACAAGACTAAGACGATCCGATTCTGCATCGAACTTGAAAACGATCCGTATATCAATAGATTAAAACATGTCATAAAGCTAAATATACGTATTTTTGAGAAACGTATCGAGACAATCAACAACAGAAATTTCATTTGTAAAGGTCCAATTATGACTAAACTTCAGCCGCTAACATTAGTTTTTGAGTTCAAATCAATTAATCCACATTACAAGCAAGGTAAAAATATTAATCCTACAGGCAAGTGCTTGGATTGTACAYCGAATCAAGGCCTAAAACAGAATGAGAATGGAATTCTTACTACAAKTGGATTTGCAGCTTCCGCCGTCTGCATAATATTTCTTCTCGTGACYTATKCACTATTTTCCGAGCTGAGAACCACGCCTGGAAAGAGCGTCATGAGCCTGACATGCGCACTATTAGTATACATGGCTTGTTACATACCGATGACGTCAACCTCGTACCCAATCCTCTGCACTGCCAACGCGATCGCCCTTCATTTTAGTCTTCTCTCAATGTTCTTTTGGTTCAATGTTTTGGCGTATGACATGTCGAAACGTTTCGGTAATGGGAGTAAAGGTATGTACAAACTAAAAAAACTTATGGTATAAGCTAACATTTCAATTCCGCAAATGACGTCATGATTGCTTGAGCGAACTGCATMATGGAGYTCATAGAATTATCAAGATGGCAGATATTTACGAGCTGATAGTCGATGAGGCCGAACGCCTGCTAGCAACAACCTAGAAGCAAGCCTAAGTGAGGTCTCCTGTTTCTCCAGCGTTGGGGATTAGGCTAAGGGGAGATAACCAAGTCGAACTTATCACAGGAATCCCGCATTGCTCCTATTAAATTCACGATTTTCATACCCAGCTGGTTCAATGATCATAGCGTCATCCAGGAACACTGAACATACATCTTTTGTTTTAGAGTCATTTTCATCCGTCTGTGAAATAGGAATTGTACTATTAAATGCTATTACCCCCTATTAGCTCCCAATAGTTTAACTTATGACATGCGACAAACAAATTAGGCAAACACGGTTTTGACTTTGCCTTTTGGTAGCCTACTACACYCTAATAGTTACACTGACTAGTAGTAATTGTTTCACAGACGGATGAAAATGACTCTATGCTCACTGCACACACATTGACGCCTGATTCYGCCCAATGATGATGAATTGAATTTATAATCCACTGATAAGTCTAATAATGGTCACAATTGCTATTGTTTCTCACAAGGTATTCCTTACTCCAACAAAGGTCCAACTACCAACACATTGTTTATCAAGTACAGCGCATACTCCTGGGGATTGCCGCTGACATTGGTAACAATTTGTGTAGCACTTGATTTTACGGAGACTGTCAAGTTTGGATATGGTAAGCCAATAGAATAGTTTTTTTTTCCTTTTGTCATCGTGCAACTTTATAAAAATAGCTACATTGAGCCTCCTTCGCAGCCAACTCTACTCCGCGGGATTTCTGTGTTAAGTCAATCAACAATGCCGGAGAGGGAGGGGGTTAGGAAAAGCAGGCTTTTTTCTCTCGACACCAGGCTTCTCGGTCGAAATTATCAACACAGGAAGACAAAACTGAAGARAAGAAATTAGACCGTTTTCGTTGGAGTAACCTTCCAAGAAGACTAGCCACATTTGTTATCAAAAAAGTTGTAATAGGAAATTTCCCTATTTTAAGCAACACTTACTGTGAAACTGACYTACCACGTACGCAGATACACACACTCCTCCCAAAGAAAACATTGGTTAAAGTGGTCGCGAAAAMAATCAAGAAAAACGCACAGACAATTTAGTATAGTATCTATCAAGGTTTGTGAATCACTTTTTSCAAATGAAGGTAAAGGTCGATTCTGCTACATATCAACGAAGAGTGGTGTCGTTGGAGCTGTTGTCGTTCCTGTCAGTATAATAATATGTGTGAATACTGTGGCTTTCATCAAGACTATCATTGGAATCAAGTCTCTTACGAAGGTTGGTATAAATGAAGTTTTTGTRTAAAAAGATAACTTTAAAGGCCCAGTTTGCACCATTATGCTTTGCGCGCCRTTGTTATTGTTATGATTTACACCAAAATACTTCTAGTATCCAAATATCACCATAAAACGAAGTCAGATGGTTGAAAACTTTTATAGTGCTTARAAAAGTGAGATGGTCAAAGATTCGAAACACACATTACAATTTATAGACTTTCGATAACTGAAAATGGCTGACATTAATTATGGTCACATGTTACAAATCCGCCATACTGGATGACAATTAATATGTATGAGGAGGATGATGGTTTTGAAACTTTTCTTGAAAAAAAGTGCGCCCCTAGTTTACACTTCGTTTTGAAGTGGAAATTAAATTGATGATACTATTGTCAGGCGACCAATAATCGAACCAATCATAAACCTTATCCCAACAGCCTTCGTCGTCTTGAGACTGATTTAAGCGTTAAAAAAGTCGAAGAAAATTTTTGTTTTTCCACTCAACGACTGGTTTCGTCCTACCAATAAACTGAAAATCTAGCGATCTATAGAACTGTGAAATAATACACTATAACGTTTTTATTCTTATCCGCTTTTGTCCGTTTATAGGACTCTTCTCGTCTTCAAGAWTCTCAGACGAAAAAACGACGACAGATGAAAGAAGCCTTGCTGTATCTAAAGCTAGCGAATCTGTTTGGTGTGACTTGGATCTTGATGATCGTTTATGCTTTTACTTCAAATGTAATTGTTCAATACCTGGCCGTCATTCTCAACTCATCGCAAGGTAGGTTACGTCTCACTCTAGGCTCCTTCACGGGTATCAGATTCACGGGCTTCCTGTCTTTTTCTGGGAGGAGGCAGAAGAGATAGAATGGGAGCAAATGAAGAGCGCGGTCCTCTACTTATTTCTCCTTTCTCGTCACTAATCCCTGCTGGCGGTCAAGATAACCCGTTACAAAAKAAACCCGAAGGAGGAAAAAAGAGTTGTCTTAGGAGGAGGCTATCTCGCCTCCCTTTTTGCAGGCTACTACGTGACCGAAAGGGATTACRGGTAGATCAATAATTTCAAGGGTCACTTGTTTTCATGGTATCCAATCCAGGGTTCATATTCTTTTTTCGGTTAGTACTTCATGTAAGATCCGACTCGATAAATACAGTAACCCTAAATCTAACCCTAATACAGTATATATACTAGTAAGTGCCAAATCATGGGGAGTTACATGAAGTACTCACCTTTTTTTTCAGGGATTTTCATATTTCTTGGATTTTGCTTCAACAAACGCATATTCAGCCTTTATAAGAACAAGTTCAAGTACCGCAAAAAGGACAATGATATTCGTTTGGGCAGGCTTCTCCATGACAAGGGTAGGAAGCCGAAAGATGACAGCGCAAACCCGCTCTCAGGCAGAAGAACACCCGAAGGAGATAAGAAGATTTGAAGACAAGGCAAAGCGCCCACCGATGTCGATAAATTGGACTTTCAAAATCAATTTAACTAAGAAAGTAAGCTAAAAAATACGTTTTAAGTGCCCGTCACCTCCATCCTGGTAGGTCCTAGTATTGACCGTTTTCAACCATTCCCATGAGATTCAAAAGATAAAAGACCGGCGGACATGTTGGAGGAATGAACAATAGATACTACTGAAAAAATCCTTTGTTGAAGTTCCTGCAAGATGGCCGTATAGTGAAAACTTTAACAAATTGCGCATGTTTTTTAGTTGTATGTCCCCTTATCGACACACCATTGACGTCATAAAATGTTCAAAACTCAAGTGATACTCTAATCAGCCAATCAGCGCGCGAAAATTTACAAAAGTGTGGTAAAAAGCAATATTGAAGTTGCCAGCGCCCACCATCTTGAAGTGTAACCGAGTCTTTGCATCAAAGCGAGACAAGAGTTTACACTAAGAAAATTATTCACAGGTATCAATTACTTAAAGCTCAACTGCCCCTTCCAATTGATACAAAGGCCACGGTACCTTTCAAAGATAGCATCATTGCCGTCTTTTCTGTATTATTTTCCTCTAATCTTTTTTTCGGAGCGCGCGTAATTTTTCGAAAGGGTTTTACACAACAGAGTGCGCGCACTGGATCTGACCAATCAGATCGCACATCAGACTAGATGGCGTCATCCGTGCGTGTGCACTTACTAACACACGGTTCTCGACCAATCAAWGAGCGCGTAATATACCAAATATTACGAAATAAGCGCAAAATGTGGTCTAGTTTAACCTCGGAATCTTTAATATTTCGATAGAATGCCCCGTAATTTACACGTATCATTTATTTTCACAAAGGGCATGATTTGTCCTATTGACCTACGACAGCGCAGATATCTTTCTATATTTTATTTATCGCTAGCATCTGCGTGCATCTTGTAGCGTTTCACTGTCATATTAACGTCTGTAGTGTCCATTGACAAAAATATTATCAATCTAGGGTTGCATTCCCAACATCTGTAGACTTTATACATTCACTAATTCAAGTTCAACAGCCGTGAATGTTCCAGTTCCATAACGGAATAACTCTTCAAGATTCAAATCTGAAGTACTGCTAGTTTAGAGCCGATTAGCTCAGGGCATTGGCCTCAATTCTCATTAACCAACTCCAAGTCGTAAACGTAATTCTCTTTTAATGATTTCAAAATATTTCATCCTTCTTCATTTTTTTCTTCCTCTGCGGACCGTAGCCATTCAAAGAAGTGGACGGTAGATGATAGTGCAGTACCCTTGCCTTGGGCTTCCTGTGGGTCACTGTTCGTTTCCCATGTGAAGAA